CCCAAGCTGTTCTGTGATTCTATGAAATTACTTCCCTTCTTAATTTTAACCTCACTACTTGCTATGCAAATGATGATAAACTGTGCATGACTTTACACAAGACTATTTGCGGAATCACTATGAAAGATTATGCATTCCTTGTGGAAATATGCACACTGAAAAGCATGGGCTTTTCTTTCCTGCAGCCTAATCACGTCCTGCTCAGTCGTGTTTATTTTATTTAAGCCTTAGGTCTGAATTTTTTGAGATAGATGCATACACTTTGGTTTTATGGATCATAATTTGTTGTGTTACAGTTCATGGAATGAAATGAGACACACATAGACCTTGTCACAAGTTGGCATTTGCATTTTTTCTAGATTTGTTACATGTGCAAACACACTGCATACAAGAATATGCAAACAAATACAAAATATTTAAAGCCAGGACATTTATTATGCACTTCTTTCTTACTGGGGTTGATTGCAATATTGATACTGCTTATTTAGAGATGCAGAATTTGAGTGTATTAGTTAAATTTTTGAACAGTGTATATTTCAATGTTAGCAGCATAAAATCATAGCAGACATGTTTAGATTTGAAAGCACTGTTCAACTTAATTTTAGAATTTTTTTTTTTTTTTAATTCCCAGCATAGATTCATTTGTTGGTATTTTTGAACAGGACAAGAGAGGAGTATTCTCCATTTTTTCTAAGTCTCTGCTTGACAGAATTGCAGCTGCTCTGTTTCATATAAAATTGTTTATGTATGATGAAGAATGCTAGGCCTTAAACTGAATATCAACATTTGGCTTTCTAACCTGTCACTGAATCACTGCATCTGTATCATAACTTTTAAACCAGTGAAGGAGTAGGTGGTGTGCTGCTGGAACTGGCTTTCATGGGAATTTTTCAAGCCTCTTCTAAAATGTATTCTTTATTAAAATTTTTAACCATAAGCTATATTTTGATACTATGATATTATTAAGAGTCTACTTTTCATCTCAGGCTGACATGCATGGTACCCTGACCTTTGTATTGATTCCCAGTCAGCAGAGCAAGCCGCCTCCTGGGAAGGAGACAGTTGTAAGTAGCTCTACATAAGTTCTTGAGCTTGGTGACGCATACCTTACTTTTCCAGTAGTGCATAGACGGTTCTTCTGTAGGGCATTTACATTGTAGAACAAACACAAAACTTAATTGTTTAAAGTGGTTTAATTGTTACCAGACTAATCCCTGGATTAACTGTTAAATGATTGATGGTGTTACACTGAAACTCTTAGTATGATTTTAACTGAATTTCTAAGAGAGTAAGAAATTTTAGAAGTAGAACTACCTGTGCTTCTGAATTTCTATTTTGAAATTCCCAATTTTTATCTGTGTGTAATATTGGGATGGAACTAGCAAATAGGCATTGGGAGAATTTCCTATGATGGAAACTTTGTTCATTATCTTTTCAGCTAACATCCTTTTCTTGAGTCAGCTTTAAGTTTGAAGAAAGAATGCACCAGTTTACATCACAGCCAAACAAAAACATCAATGGTTGGTGATCAAGTGAAATATTTTACAAGTGAAACTTCACCCAAAAACCAGCAAATAGGTTTCAGTCTGTGTATTAGGTATAGTAAACAAATCAGAGTATCTCTGATACTTTTTGAATGCAGAGAATTTAAATCAGTAGCTCAGGGTTTTTTGCCTCCTAAAATGGTGAGGAAATTGCATGGACTTTAGAATTAATAAGACTTGAATTCAGATCTTCACCTCCAACCTAGCACAACTATCTTTTCCGTGGCTAACCTAGGTAATGATTCTGTTTCAGTGTCTCCTGTATGCCCCAGATAAGGTTTACATTTTATACAGTCTTGGAGTTCTTACATATCAGAGCTCCATGGGAAGATGAGGTGTAATTCTGCAGAAGTCACAGGGGTGGTTTTCTTTTGTTTTTACATTTTATCTTCCACAGATACACGTGAAAGCGCATTTTGACTATGATCCCTCTGATGACCCTTACGTCCCCTGCCGAGAGCTAGGCCTGTCTTTTCAAAAAGGAGATATACTCCATGTGATCAGCCAGGAAGATCCAAACTGGTGGCAGGCTTACAGAGATGGAGATGAAGATAATCAGCCCCTGGCGGGCCTTATCCCTGGTAAATACAGCTCTAGAAAACATTTGACAGCCAGTTGTTCCCATAGTTACAGAAGCAATATTCTGGATTTCAAATACTCATATACACTTAATTATCTTAAATTAATACACTTAAACGGCTGTGACTTTTAACCTTTTGCTGCAGAGCCTACAACTGCTGGTTATGTAATTCACTTCTTTAAAAGGTTGACCTTGTAGAGGTAACCCCATGTATAGATAGATGTTGAATGCAGAGTAAGGCTATGGCTTCCTATGGCTTCTGCTGCAGTTTACCTTTCCAGAGCAACTCTTGTTTTACTCCTTCTTCTTGGGACTCTGGATTCAGAGTTCCCTCTGCTGGCTACAGCAGAAGTGTGGGAATTCAGTCTGCTTGTTCTCCAGAGATGAGAGCAGCTGCTGTGTTTCTTAGTATATCAAGTAGTCTGTTTGAAAAATGTATCTCTTTGTGGTAACTTTTCTGCATGTTTTCACTTAGCAAAGCACTTCAGTTACTTGTTAAAGTCATGCGTCTGTTCTAACTGTTGGGGGCCTGTGAGTAATAAGGGGTTTGGACAGTGCAGTCAGTATATAATTTTTGCATTCAAGTAAGTACTGCCCACTAGTCCATTAAAGATTTGAACAGAGTGAACAAAAGACTTTTCAAACTCCATAGAATATCACACTGCTATTTATAACATTTGAGTAAGTTGAGAGGAACAGTGATTTAAATATAGCCTAATCTTTTTCAAGCTGAAGTTTGAAAGATTCAGTATAAATATAACATGTTTAAGACACAAGAATAATTAGAAAACCGTATCATCATACTGGAGAAATGTAGTCTTTCCAGTAGTTTCAATTTTCCAGACAAAACTGTCCAGAATAGTACAAATGCTCTACAAGTCTTTCTTGATGAATATAATTTTCAAAGCAATAAACAAGCTTTTGCAGCAATTTTAGTTTCACTTTTTAAATTTTGATTTCTCTTTTTGAATGTCCCATGTCATATTCTACTGTTACCTTCAGAGGTGTAAAAGCTTAGGAAAAAAAAGTAAAATTAGTAAGTCATTACAAAAAAGTTATGGAAATGGTTTTTAAATGTCAACTGCTTATGTAATTTTTTAAAAAAATTCTTTAAGGAAAAAGTTTTCAGCAACAAAGAGAAGCAATGAAGCAAACCATAGAGGAAGACAAGGAGCCAGAAAAATCAGGTTGGCTATATGCTTTCCAAGGGGGGAAAAAGAATAATTTAATTCTTATAGAGGTGATAATGATCTCTGGAACTTTGTCGTTGTAGAAAACTACTCCGTTTTATATAATACAAGTGGGATGATTCTTTGAAATTATTCATGTAAATACAGGTCTGAATTTAGTACACTGTTGAATAAATCACATGGTCTTTTTCATAACTATGTGCAGGGTTAACTAGGATGATGTAGAGGAATTTGGAAAGCCCCTTTTTTCTTATGGAATTTTATCTGCCGTGATTTAATTGAAGTAGTTGGCATTCAACATTTGCTTAATACTCCGAACCATTGTAATGAACTAAAGAATATGATGCCTTTTCAAAACTGCAGAATAAATCTCCGCTTTTAAAGGTCCAGGTAGTGGGTGGGACGGGAAGCTTTTTACTGTATAGGTATTTGATGGTGATGATTTTTATTTTGGTTAGGAAAACTCTGGTGCGCGAAGAAGAACAAAAAGAAACGGAAAAAGGTTTTATACAATGCAAATAAAAATGATGGTAAGCAACATCTTTTTTACAGCTTGTGCCCTTAGAAGCAACTATACAGGATTCTGCAAATAACCTTGTGATAAGAATGGTGAAGTGCAGGATGCGATGTTAGACATAGGGCCTGATGATGTTCTGTTTGGCAGCAGTAGTATGGTTTGTAATAGCATTTAATGAAAGATGTAAAAGAGGTGGCAGAATCTGTGGGATCATTTAGTGTCTTTAATAAAGACCAGGTGATGGGGTAAAAAAACAGATAGCTTTTTAGGCATGGAATCACTCATTTTACAATAATGAACCAATTTATTATGGTTTTGTAATATCATCTCACTCTGCATAATTAACGTTGCTAAATGGAAACTTTCTCTGCAGTCTTTGAGGCTATTTATACTGCATTGTTACAGAAGTACCTTTGGGTTGGGTTGACGGTGGTTGTTGTTGTTGGGCATAAAGTGTTGTTCTTGTACTAGAAACTTGTTCCTTGGCAAGGAAGTTGTTTCTTGAGTTTATGCTACTGTGTATATCAGTAGTAAGTGGAAACACATTTTCTTTCTCCAGAAAGGGGGGCAACAAGCCTCATTTTCCAGGGCAAGTGATGATCTTCAGGGTTCTGTTGCTTTGGTGACTCACAGTTAGATGCTGGTCAGAGAGTCAGGAGCTGTCTGAAACATGATACCACATGACAGGCAATATATGCAACTAGCAGTAGTGAAGTATGTTGTGACTATTTTATTGTTTCTCTCTCAAGATTATGACAATGAAGAAATTCTAACCTACGAGGAAATGTCACTGTATCATCAACCAGCAAATAGGAAACGACCTATTGTTCTGATCGGCCCACAGAACTGCGGCCAAAATGAATTGCGGCAGCGATTGATGAATAACGAAGTGGATCGCTTTGCTTCTGCAGTTCCCCGTAAGTTTGATGGGCAGGCACGATTGCTTATTCTAAACACTGTCTGCAGACAAATTCTCTTGTGTTGAAAATAGCACTTAGCAGTTTGGGGATTTTGAGAAGGATATAGCCAGCTCTTGGACAAATAAAGTTAGAGCTTTTGTGGCAAAAAGTAGCTTTGGTAAGTCAGTGCAAATGCAGTGTCCCATCACAGTGTTACAGAGGCATTACAAGATGTGCATATATTTCAGTTTGAATAAAATTGGAGTGAGTTACAGAAGTTTAAAAAATAAACTAGTACGTCAGTCAAAGAATTTAAACCTACGCAGCCTGCACAAATTTAAATGTGATGGCTTTAGTGCCTTCCCAAACCACTTGTTTCAGTGAATTTTATATTTGATATCTAATGTATCCTAAATTAGGTTTACAAGCAACTTAACAATATAACTTGTTATGAACAACTAATAGCTGTTCTCACATCCAGATTGCAGCTGCACAGGTGAAACTACTCCTTTTCTTGTTGACTGTTTGTTTTTTTCCTTCTAGATAATGTAAACAAGATCTCTGAATGTAGGTTCAGCCTTTGGCAAGTTAATCTGTCCAGAGATATTTATTGTAGAAAATAAAATACTTGCATTTCTTGGATATTTCAAATGTCATCTTTTTTGCTTGGTTAGCAGTGTCTCTCCTAAGAAATACTTACTTCTCTTCAGTTCTGCAGGTTTATTACTGTCTCTCTTTTTTTGTTGCTCTTGTTTGTAGATACCACTCGGAGCAGGCGAGAGACTGAAGTAGCTGGCAGGGATTACCATTTCATTTCCCGTCAGGCATTTGAGAGTGACATAGCTTCAGGGAAGTTCATTGAATACGGAGAGTTTGAAAAGAACCTCTATGGTACTAGCATAGACTCCGTGCGGCAAGTAATCAACTCTGGCAAGATATGCCTTTTAAATCTTCATACCCAGGTATGGCAAAGCTGTCGCTTCTCATGTTTTAATTGTAGGAGCTATTGGGAAAATCTGAAGAAATATGTTTGGTTTATGTAAAATGGGTGTGTCTTCAAAGTCCATTTTCATGCTTATTCCAGGTTTTCTTGCAGTGGTGCTCAGTTAACTCTGTTTAGTGTGTTAGGAATACAGTCTTCTTGTTCCTTGTTTGGAAATACACAAATCTTTGTCTGTCCTAAAGGTGAAAGGGGACATAGTTTCCAGATCCTTAAAGCTTGGGGAGAACTGTCCGAATTGAAAAATGAATTACAATAAGAACTGTGTCTCTCAGTCTTCCAATTACCCTATGAGTGCTGAGGTTTTTGAAGAAGGAGAGCAAGTTGCTTGTGATTATACTTGGAAACTGCATTTTGGGAATGTTTATGCAGTTCCATAACAGACAGGATCAAAGTACATCACATCAGCAGTATTGAAAAGCTCTTCAGCTATCACCTTTTGATTATGGAGAAAGAAGAGACAAACTGTGCATACAGAGCTCAACTTGGAAATTTAGTTAAACATGGGAAGAAGCAGAGTCCTGGAACACAGCCCAGTTCCTAATATATATGATATGTATGAGGTCTACTGCTGTACAGATGCTGCTAAAGAAGCCCTAAAACTCAGACTCATCAGTCAAGTCTGGTTGTATGGAAGCTGTAATTAGCCATCACCAGTGGGACCAGGTGATACTTCACTAGAATAGCTCATGGGTAGTGCAAGTTGTGTAATAACTTGAAAATTTTTAACACTTTGAAAATTGATCTGATTCTGTGGTTATAAAAATTGTCTCTGAGACAAGTTGTTTGTCCCGAGAAACATAGAAGGAACCTTTTGGAAAAATCAAACTACAGTTTGGAGGTTTTTTATTTCCTGTCTCTTAATATAAATAACCTGCCATAACCAATACACAAACATGCAGTAATAGTGCATCTGATACCTTGCATTTTAATCTTCAGAACAGAAAAGTTTAAACTGTGGTATTTAAAGTAAACTGTAGTATTTTAAGAGTCTTCTCTCTGTTAAAAGCTAATATTCCTTAGCATTGCAAGGAAACTTATTTCAATGTAGGTGACTTTTTTATTTTGCTTTTGGATACCAAAAGATACGTTCCTTCAGTTTAATTATGAAGAATACTCTTAAAACAAAAGCAAATGTTTTGGTTCCATGAATCTGAAAAATGTTGGCATATGAACTTTATAGGAAAAAGGGAATAAAGGCTGAGTGGTGATGAAAATACTGTTACGGTTAATTACGCTGCTGTTAATATATTGCACAGTTGTCATTGTGTTTAAAGAGTGTATTATCAATTATAGCATGTGAATAATGCATTATTAAATGCCTTTTTCATATGTGGAACTGTTAAGTATTTGATAAACCCTATTTTTGCAGTCACTGAAGACACTACGCAATTCTGACTTGAAGCCATACATTATATTTGTTGCACCACCTTCACAAGAGCGATTACGTGCTTTACTGGCCAAAGAAGGGAAAAACCCAAAGGTAATGTGTTTTAACACTTGTGCTGAAACCAAGCTGCTTTTTATTTACAGATCTGAAAGGTCTCTGTTTGGAACTGGGAGATGGTAATTGGTACTGACAATGTGTGGGAAGCAGTGTGGTTAGCTGGGCACTCTGTGCTCCAGGTTAGTAGGCAGACCATACTAAGGGAGGGACTCGGGTTGTTTTCACCTACCAAACTGAGAGGTTAGAGGCAAGGGAACCCACTGCTAATTCAGTAATCCTGGGGCACCGTCTCTCAGTTGGAGCCCCTGCACTCGGGTACAAAAATACGACCCCTTATATCAAAACTGTAGAAACCCCAGCTTTAAGTAAACCTGAGAGTAATTGTAGGGAGCAAATGAGTATTGTTTTTCTTTTGAGAACTTACCTGCCCTTGGAAAAGCATTTATTGTATTCCAAAACTCTTCAGATAGTTATGTTGATGCTTGATCCTGTAGGATCACTTCTTATGTTTCAGCCAGAGTTATGTCAAGGTCTCAGCTCAGCCCGTTCAGATTGTGTAGTTAAATGGGAAGTTGGTTCTGTAGAATGAAATTTAAACCCATAGATTAAACCAGGATGCCTGAAAGCTCCAAAAGATCCCCCAAAAAGGCCAATCTTTAAATGGGCACGTTTCCTCCTTCATGATTTTGCAATGTATGAAACCTTATTTTACATAAATACTTCATCTTGTGTACGTCTTTTTTTTTTATTGCAGTGGTCAAGGAATCCATTTGCAATAAAAATTAATACACTGTTATTGGTGTTATACTACGCCTGTTTTCTTTCTAATTAGTCGTATTGGAGTTGTATTTATTTCAGTTGAGTAAACACTACTGTGTTAGACCCCTTCCCCTGATAAAGAGAAGGGTATTTCTTGTATGTCTGCCTCTGTGTGGCTTTGATTTTTCTCAGATGTGTGTAACGCCTGGGGAAAAGAAAACCTTGACGGCCTGAAGTCCGTTTTGAAAATACCCTCTTTAGAAAGTTTTCTCAAAAATGATACTTGAATACTCCTTTGTATAATACAAAAATAAGCTGCAGAAGAGGAAAAAACCCACACTTTTTTAGAATCCTAGTTAAAAAAAAATCTGAAACACACAGTTTCTGCTCCTCCCTTTGCATCACGTACCTACATCTGCAATAGCCTTGCTTTTTGACATACTCCCTTCCAGCTCCCAAATCATGTTTTCCATTTTTCTGCGATGCTATGGTGATTCGATCAGCTTGCGTGTATAGCTGTCACGTTGCTTCTTACTGCTCTTCATTGGTGAAAATACTTCAGTGACAGCTGTTGCCTTTGTCTGTTTGGTGTCTGTAGAGCTACATCTCCAGAGAAGCGTTGTCTTGTTCTGCACCATTCAAACTTTTCTCTCACACTGTCTCGGCAATCTCCAGCCTTTTTCGGAAGGATAATGGGCTTAGCAACCTAACTTCTTTTTCAGAAACAGGATTTAAGAGCCTCAATAAGATACTGGGACAGTTATTGACCGTTTGCCACTTATGGACAATCAAAGTATTGTCTTAAGTGCCCTTAGCTTTCAAATGTGTATCATGGGTCAGGGTTATTGTAAACTTTTCAATAGCTGATAGCGTTACCATGAAACTTGGTGTGGAAGACTCTTCCGAGTCGAGTTGTTGCCTTTCCCTGCTCTGTCGTGGTGAGGGAGAGGCTCCCATGCATACACTAACTCTCCGTTTTCGATTGTAGCCGGAAGAGCTGAGAGAAATCATAGAGAAGACAAGGGAGATGGAACAGAACAACGGCCACTACTTTGATACAGCAATTGTGAATTCTGACCTTGATAAGGCATATCAGGAGTTACTGCGGTTAATAAACAAACTTGACACAGAACCCCAGTGGGTGCCCTCTACCTGGCTACGATGAGAGAGAGATTCCAAGGGACAAACAGACTTCAACCTAGTAATCTTTCCAAGGAAATCGTTTGTACGTCTGCCCGGTTCTATTCTAAGTGCATGTGAGCTCTAGACCTCAGTGGCTGCATCTTTTGCCAGTGACGTTGCGTATTATTGAAAAAATATGCTAATCAGCTTGTGAGCCAGTTTAACTGAGCTAAAGATTGTGCAAGTTTTCTTCCTCTGTGGTTTAGAAATGGAGACCTTGTCAGTACTAAATTCTGAAGCTTTAGGTAGATTTTTTTTTTTCTCCTAGCCACTACTTTTATACATAAATCCACCTTTTTTTACCTAGAATCACCCTTATGAAATCAAAGATTTTAAGTATGTGTATATACAGTCCATGCTGTCACATAGTTATAAATATGAATGTTATTTAACACTTAACTTAATGACTTTGTGGGACATGATGGTAGTTCAGGAGCATAATTCTACAGATCACTGGGCAGAGAAATAATTTACGCAGGAAAAACATTACCATTAATGAGAAATCTCTCCTGTTCAAAAAACACACAGAATGAAGATGACGCTCTGGTCTAGAGCTGCCCTGTGAGGCTTGAGTTAATATTTTAATTCTCAAACATTCCACTTTCTAATAGCACTGTAATTGGAAAATGTGTATAATGTAAATATTTCAATCCTCGTGTCTTTTTAGTATGAGTCCTTAAATCAGATTTGACTGCACATTAATATTAGGTCCAAAGATGAGTATTATATTGATCTTTTAGATGTCATATTTTTATGGAATTTTCTTTGAAACATATGGACTGATTTGAGCCGCTGTTTTCCACAGATCTGTAGAGATATTTAGAAAGGCAGAGGTTATATTTTTGTGAAAAATATATAGTTATAAGACATGCTGCTTTAAGGTCAACGTAAGTTCTCATGTTTTATAACAGAGTAGTGACTAAAATAGACTGGTGTGCTGAACATTGGAACGCAGCAGGGTTTTTTATCTCTGCACATGGTTCATCTTGTGGCTGTTGGTCTTATGGAGAACTAACTGGAATTAAAGTAGCTGAATGTAGCTGTTTTATCAGTGAGTATTGTAATTCACTAGCCAACATACTGTCCTGCATTTGCTCAGTACTGCAGTGAAAGTATGTGTAAAACACTGGTAACTGACTGCGAAGTCACAAGAAAGGGGAGTATTTGTTATTGCTGAAGCAAACAAACTTGAAACAAGTGAACAAAAGGCAAGGTCTGTATCCTAGTGTTTTGCAGAGCAGATCGGAACGTCTCTGCATCCTCATGATTCTGAGCTGTGACGGTTTAACTGCAAAGGCCACGCATCTGCAGCAAGGCTGTTCTGTCGCTGAAGCTAACGGAATAGGAGTATCTTGGCTGTTTTGGGTTTGGGTAGCACAAAGAACCTTGACTGTGAATCTCTCTTGATTTTAGTCATAGCGATTCTTCGTTCCTACAGGTAAAACACTGGAGTTATGTCAATGTGTAGTTCACACCTGTCTAATGTTGAAGGATGAAAAAGTAGTTGATTTTTTTTTCCATTCTGTCTTGCATACCCTCTTTCTCCAAATGTTAATGGAACCAGTTCTCACCCATAGTTAAACAGAGGGCTCAAAGTATACAGCAGATAGCAAGGAATTGTCAGATAACTTTCCTAGTTACTGAACTTTAACATTCAGTACATTTTTGTATTGAAAAGTGAAAGAATAGAGTGCATTTATGTTTTGTTAGAAAGCAGAATTATTTGCTGGTTTAATTAGTATTTAGGGCTGAAAAGCAATTAAGCCCTTAGTGGGGATAAGTGGTGACCCTTCAGAAAGAAAAGGGGTTGGAAACTTTAATTCCTTTAGTTCAATTCAGTGTTAGAAATAATGATGTTCTAGCTGTTGGCCTAAGGGCTGGATGTCCAAAATAGTGGCTTTTGCCTCACACTGCAGGCATGCTCTCAGTTCAACCCACAGTTTATGACAACTACAATGTTCAGGAATATCGAATAGTCAGTGTTTCATAGACAATAAAACTGTGTCGATTCTACCCCTTTTTAAGAAAGAAGATTGTAGATGTACTAGGCTTTTTGGTATTGACTCTTTCATAGTTGGACAAGGTGGAAAGCAGTAAAATGTAAGGGTGACCTAGCTCAGCTGCCTAGATACTGTCCAAATTCTTGCAGTCACAATCAGCTCGAGATTGTTGCTGAACTCCCTTAGGCATTCAGTGTTCATAGGCAGTGGCAGTAAATCATGCCATTAATGCATTTGGCTCACGCTTCTCCCACCAGTTTTTCTGAAGTGGTGTACAGAAAATGTTTTTACACAAATAAGGTTTTGAATGTAGACTTAAAGAATGTTGCTTCAAGTTCAGCTCTACTTCCTTAATTCCCAAGGCGCCCAGTGCTTGCTGACATCCACATTGAGCTGCTGTCATCGTTCATAACCAATGTCAGCTTTTGTC